GATAAAGTTCTTCGTCACGCATTCTCCTTTCTTTCGCTGTGCGCTCACGACGATCTCCCACTCGAAGCTGTTTCAAAGTTCGTCAAAGCGCAAACAAAAGACCAGCCGGAGGAGTTGATCAAGGCAAAGATTGTTAGGTCTTCTTTAGTTCTTGTTCATTCCGAGAAAGGAGATGAACGTAGATATATTCGCTTGCATAAAATTGTTTATGAAGCTTTGATTCGAGGCGAATTCCTCAAGCTAACATCAGAGGAGATTAATTGCGACTTGGCCGAAGCAGGAAAGATTTTCAAATCCCTGTTTGCAGAAAATAATGAGGATTATGCGATTTTTAGGACCTTGAGGCCCCACTGTGAATCTTTACTAAAGCACATGACACCAAATTGCAGTTCTGATCAGCTGAGAACTTTTTTGAGAACGTCGACGCCTTTTGTAGATTTGAATATGGTTGCCGATTGGTTGAGGTCTCTTGCTTCAATCTGTTGCCATTTTTGTGATTTGTTGTTTGCTAAAACTGTGGTCGATTTAGGATGCGACTTGCTAGAGGACATAGAAGATACTGACCCAGGTGCCTTTTTAAAAGGGGATATTTTAAGTACCAGTGGCCAAGTGTACGATAGGATTGGAAAATATCGTCAAGCGGAAGGATTTCACAAAAAGGCGCTAATGATTCGGAAAAAGATTTTCGGTGAAGATCATAGCGATGTAGCATCAAGTTATAACAACTTGGCAACAGTGTACAGCAGCCTGGGAGAATACGATCAAGCCAAAGAACTTAACGAAAAAGCACTAATGATCAGAAAGAAGATTTTCGGTGAAGATCATGCCGATATAGCATCAAGTTATAACAACTTGGCATCAGTGTACAGCAGCCTGGGAAAATACAATCAAGCCAAAGAACTTAACGAAAAAGCACTGGTGATTTGGAAGAAGATTAACGGTGAAGATCATGTCGATGTAGCAACTAGTTATCACAACTTGGCATCAGTGTACAACAGCCTGGGAGAATACAATCAAGCCAAAGAACTTTACGAAAAAGCACTAATGATTAGAAAGAAAATTTTCGATGAAGATCATGTCTATATAGCATCAAGTTATAACAACTTGGCAACAGTGTACAACAGCCTGGGAAAATACAATCAAGCCAAAGAACTTTTCGAAAAAGCACTGGTAATTTGTAAGAAGATTAACGGTGAAGATCATGTCGATGTAGCAACTAGTTATCACAACTTGGCATCAGTGTACAACAGCCTGGGAAAATACAATCAAGCCAAAGAACTTAACGAAAAAGCACTAATGATTAGAAAGAAAATTTTCGATGAAGATCATGTCGATATAGCATCAAGTTATAACAACTTGGCAACAGTGTACTTCGACTTGCAAGAATACAATAAAGCCAAAGAACTTTTCGAAAAAGCACTAATGATTACAAAGAAAATTTTCGGTGAAGATCATGCCGATATAGCGTCAAGTTATAACAACGTGGCATTAGTGTATGGCAGCCTGGGAGAATACAATCAAGCCAAAGAACTTTACCAAAAAGCGCTGGTGATTACCAAAAAGATTTTCGGTGAAAATCATGCCAATATAGCAGTAAGTTACAACAACTTGGCATTAGTGTATGGCAGCCTGGGAGAATACAATCAAGCCAAAGAACTTTACAAAAAAGCCGTGGTGATTAACAAAAAGATTTTCGGTGAAAATCATGCCAATATAGCATTAAGTTATGGCAACTTGGCAACACTGTACTGCGATATGAAAGAATACAATAAAGCCAAAGAACTTCATGAAAAAGCGCTGGTGATTAACAAAAAGATTTTCGGTGAAGATCATACCCGTACAGCATCAAGTTATTTCAGACTAGCAACAGTTTACCGCATTCTAGGAGAATACAATCAAGCCAAAGAACTTAACGAAAAAGCACTAATGATTAGAAAGAAGATTTTCGGTGAGGATCATGCCGACTGATATGGTATCAAGTTATTAACAACTTGGCATCAGTGTACAATGTCACGCCATTAAAAATAAGAATGGAAACCTTTTAACACATAAAGTCTAGAATCTGGGAAATGAAAAAGATAAATATACAAAAAGCCTTGCCAAGAATCAGGTCTGTGCAACATTTCATATGCCAGATATTCAGAAAAACGTTCTACCCAGATTTATAGACTAAGCCGTTTTATGGAGACGCCATGTTTGTGTCCCTTTCAGAAACATCTGTTTTTGAGTTTTCCTAGTAATGCGTGAATTCTCCGCTTGAGGAACTCATGAAGATTAAGGAAATATTTATTTTGAGAGAAGGAATATTTAGATAGCAAAATCTCTCAAAATCGGTAATGGTTTTAACCCAGCCTTCCTGGCAGTCAGCTAAATGCCGCGCAACGCAAAAGCCTGGAAATTCAAGCGTCCTGTATTGCAAAAACGAAGAACCCTTTAAAAACCGAAAATTTGCTTGTATAAAGGTTTTAAGGTGCTGTAATAGCACATGAAAGTAGAAACTCAGAAGAAGCGATAGTTTTCTTAGTTTGAATTTTGGTGACGTCATGTGAAAACCAAGAAAAGCACTGATAATTTGGAAAAACTGAGTTTTCAGTGAACACAATGCCCATGTAGCAAGAAGTTGTAACGACTTAGCATAAGCGTACTACAACCTGGGAGAATACAATCAGGCGAAAGAATTTTTCAAAAAAGCACTCAGTAATGATTAGGAAAAAGATTTACGGTGAAGATCATGTGGAAGTAGCAAGAAGTTATGACAACTTGGCTTCTGTGTACAAATTAGTTTTATTTGCATTAGAATGAAAAATGATTTCCACATCAAAGGCTGAGCACTTAACCTCGTTTTGATACAGAGGCCCGGGGGAACTCGGAAATGGCCTATTCTGTGTTTTCACTCACGTGGCCAGCATCTATGCAAATGATAATGATAATGATAATGATAATGATAATGAATTTGTATAGCGCTAAAACTATAGAAGAATATTCAAAAGCGCTTTTCATTAAGTTAAAATTAATGAATGAATAATAAATGAAAAATTTTAAAATCTCTTAAGGCTATAATAATAACAATAATATGTTATGCTATGGTAAAATCTAAAAAAAATGAAATCCGAAAATTCCAAACTAAATTAAAATTAAACATTAGAACTATTCCAACAAATTAAAAGCTCTCTTAAAAAGAAATGTTTTAAGTTGCTTTTTAAAAATGGCGAGGCTGCTACTTGTTCTTATAGTAAATGAGAGCGAGTTCCATAAAACAGGTGCAGCATGAGCAAAGGCCCGATCCCCAAGTGTAGAGCAGTTGACTTTTGGAACGAACAGAAGAGATTGTGCAGGCGAACGAAGAGCATAATTAGCTGCTAGTTTCAGGGACAAAAGATCTTCAAAGTAGGATGGACTTTGGTTGTGTAGTGACTTGTAAACAAAAAGGAGCAATTTGAACTGAACTCTAAACGTTACTGGAAGCCGGCAATGTAAGTCGATAAGAGAGGGTGTGATATGATCAAATTTCGCAATCTGAAAAGTCGCCCCAGACGCGGCATTCTAAACTTTCTGTAAACGATCAAGTTGATATTTAGGTAGACCAAATAGAAGTGCGTTACAGTAATCAAGGTGCGAAGATACAAAGGCATGGATCGGTGTCTTTGTGGATTGCACGGTAAGGAATTTTCTGATCTGTCTTATGTTGTATAGTCCGCGAAAAGCCTTTCTACAAATCTTGCCTATCTGAACATTCATTCGCATATGAGCGTCGAACCAGGACCCAAGGTCGCGGACGCTTTCTAGGTGACGGTGTCACCAATGATAATAGATTCAATAGATGTTTTTTCAAGTTGTTGACGGGTGCCAATGATTAGGAAGTCAGTTTTCGCGTCATTGATCATTAAACGATTTCCAATAAACGAAGAGCGAACATCGGCGATGCACTTTTCAATCACAGAGACCAATGGATAGAACAAGGTCAGAAGGAGAGGTAAATCTGGGTGTCATCAGCATAACCATGGACGGAAGGGAGGTGCTGAGAAATAATGTTAAAGAGGCGGGAGACGTAAAGAGTAAATAAAATAGGCCCCATACAACCGCCTTGGGGGACTCCACAGTTCAGATTGAAGTCGTCAGAAGTCTTATCACCGACAAGTATACGTTGTTTGCGACCAGACAGAAATGAGTCGAACCAATTTAAAGCATTTCCGACGACTCCAGAATCCTGTTGCAAAATATTCAGAAGAATGGAATGTATATGGCCGCCATAACGTCATGTGAAAACACACAATTTATCACAGGCGACTGCTTTCAGCCTCGTCCCCAGGGCTTTTGCCTCCCATTTTTAAGGGAAAAGTCCTGGACACGAGGTTGAACTGTTTCATTCCACGCCGCACTTCAGCCGCGCACACCGCTGAAAAGCTCTCCTGCACTCCGATTGCTCATGAGTTACGCAAGGAAGAGAAGAAAATGTATCTTGTGTCTCTCGATGACTTGCGATTTCGCCGATCAGTTCGAAACTTCAACCTCCCCACGGGGCATACCCAGGGCATTTAACTATTTTGGGTGTTTGGGCAGCGGGGAATTTGGCAAACTAGGACGGAATTGTTCCGCAAAGCGGCGAAATGAAGAGAACGGTTAGGGTTTCTTCTTTCGAAACCTTGGTAGCTGGCGAGAACAAAGTGCGGGAGTGCTTTTGGCGGCTGACCCGAGGAAATTAAACCAGTCACATGCCACTAATCCCACAGCTACGCAACACGTATACGTATTTTTTTATGCGGATACAAAAAAATCTGCGTCCACACGTTGCGTATACGAATCGTATACGACCGTCCACACGTATCCGATTCGTATCCGTACATCTCAAAGGATTAGTCAACGGAGCATGCGCATTACAAAGAAAGCTGAGCCTGCGATAATTTTGGCGCCAAATTCGCGGCTTTCTTGTTTGTTTACTTGAGGTTTCAACACGTGTGAGCTTGAAGAGCGAAAAAAATTCCTGTTAAAAAACACCATAAAAAATGTCTCAATTAAGAGAAAAACAGTAAAAAACCAAAGACAACTCATTTGTTTGGACGGACGATGAAGTATTGCTGCTTCTTAAAGTGACATTGGATTACAAAACAGCAAAGACTATGGAAAATATCGATTGGGAGTCGTGCCAAACCAAATATTCTGCCATTTTAGATCTCTTCAATGACCAATATCCTTCACAAGAAAATGTTTCTTCAATTGGGAAAGATTACCCACATAAGAAAGGGGAACTAACTAAGTCAATTTGGACTTCAAAGCTGAAACATATTTGT